AGATGCTGTTCGCTCTGCCTGCTCCGCGGGCACCGCCCCAGGCGCCCTCCCTGACCGCCGCTGCAGTCGCCTTGCCCTTGAGGAGACAGTGGCTGAAAGACCTAGAACCGTGGAGTCGGTGAGAGCGTCAGTCGCAGAAACGCGGAGCTGCTGGGCCCCGGGCTCCAAACGGCGGCCAGCGGCCTCGTGGCTCGACTCAGAGACGCCAGGGGCCCAGCACCTCGCGGAGCTGAGTCCCAGCAGCCCCGCCCCCCGTGGGGCCGTGTTCCTGTGGCTCCCCACGCCCCCCCCCAAAGCAGCCTGCCTTTGCCTGGCTGCTTCCACTGCCTGCTCCTGGCCGTGTCCCCAGCTCCCAGGAGACGGGGCCCTGAGCAGGCCCCACGGCCTCTATTTGCGCAGAAAAGGGTCAGCGCCCAGGAGGTCAGCGACAGGTCGGGGCTGGCCGGGCAAGGCCGGTGCCGTGCGGCCACTTCAGAGTCGCCCTGATCAGCCCGGGAGGAAATGAGCCGTGACGGGTTTCCCATGGCAACGCCAGCGGGCAGACGCTCCCTGTCTGGCGGGTCCCAGGAGGGTGGCTGCTGGAGGCTGCTGACCCTGGCTCTGGGGCGGGCTGTGTCCTGCGGCGCGACTCCCAGGCCCCTGGGTTTGGTCTGGGCACTGGAAATGGCACGGCTAACCGCCTCTGCCCGAAGCCAGGTCCAGCAGCATAACTGCAAGAGCTTCATCGAAAGGTTGATGGAACTTGGGGACTCAGCAGGGGCTGAGTCACATATGTTGGCACCTGTTGGGAGTGGCTAAGGCGTTTCCCCACCTGAATAGGATGCATTAAATGATTGTTTGCTGCCAGACAGCTCAGGGCATCTTGATCCACATGTTATCGCCTCCTGCTGGCCAAACACCGGAACAGCCGTAGGCGACTCTTCCAATCTGACAATGGACTCGGTGTACGAAACCCTGACCCTCTGAAGTGCGCAGCTCCACCTCGCCTCAGGACAATTTGTGTTAATAAAAAGCATGGTGTCCTGAGACAAGGAGATCTTAGTTCCTTTTAGCTAAGCTCCTCTGACCCCCAAATGCCTTTCAAAATTATGCTTCGTCTCTGGACCCTTTAAGTCACACACAGCCTTCTCCAGATTGCTGAACCTTCTAGATGCCGAAATAAGAACCCTGGCACGACTCCATCGCACTCACAGAGCAGATGGGGAAACCGAGCCCAGAGGGGCAGAAATGGACCCTTTAGAAGAGTTGGGACCAGGACCTCTGAGAGAGCTCTCAGAGAGAGCCTGTCTGCTAAACGGGAAATGTACGTGCTCACCCCTGCACCATCCACCACCTGTCCATCCATCCATCCATCCATCCATCATCCATCCATCCATCCCTGGGCGCCTGGCCCAGGCCTGCCCCCCGGCCTCTCCAACAGGTGAGAACAGGCCGGGTCCTCTGTCCTCATTCACCACCATCCAATCATCCATCCATTATCCATCCATCCATCCATCTACCCATCCAACATTCATCTATCAATAAACCCATCATCCATCCATCATCCATCATCCATCCATCCATCATCCATCCCTCATCCATCCATCCATCCATCATCCATCCATCCATCCCTCATCCATCCATCCATCCATCATCCATCCATCCATCCCTCATCCATCCATCCATCCATCATCCATCCATCCATCCCTCATCCATCCATCCATCCATCATCCATCCATCCATCCCTCATCCATCCATCCATCCATCATCCATCCATCCATCCCTCATCCATCCATCCATCCATCATCCATCCATCCATCCCTCATCCATCCATCCATCCATCATCCATCCATCCATCCCTCATCCATCCATCCATCCATCATCCATCCATCCATCCCTCATCCATCCATCCATCCATCATCCATCCATCCATCCCTCATCCATCCATCCATCCATCATCCATCCATCCATCCCTCATCCATCCATCCATCCATCATCCATCCATCCATCCCTCATCCATCCATCCATCCATCATCCATCCATCCATCCATCATCCATCCCTCATCCATCCATCATCATCCATCCATTATCCATCCATTATCCATCCATCCATCCATCCATCATCCATCCATCATCCATCCATCCATCCATCCACCCATCCATCATTCATCTATCAATCAACCCATCATCCATCCATCCAGCATTGAGTCCTTTATCCACCCACCCACAAAACTAATGTAACATGCTTCTTCCCTTACATCCCAGTTCTCATGTACCCACTCATCTATCCCCCTGTCCATTGCCTCAGCCACCTATCTCTTCATCCAGTCACCCACCCCTTAACACACCACACATCCATCCCCTCACTCACCTATCCATGCATCCGTATACCTACCTGCCTCTCCTCCATTCATATTCCCTTTACCTGATACCCATCCACTTGCCCAGGCATTATCCTCCCCCACACTCACCCGTCACTCACTTGCCCTATGAATACCCACTTAGCCACACGCTCATAACACTTCCATCCACCCATTCATACACCGACTCATATACCACCCTCCACGCGGCAGTGGTGTGTGTCAAGCCGGCTGGTCCCGGGCGCATTCTAGGCATTTCACATCCTTGTCAACACTTGATATTATCCTGTTGAACCTTTGCCAGCCTCGCGGGTGTGACGGTACTTGTTGTGGTTTCATTTGCATTTCCACGGTGAGGCATGAGCGTGAGCAGCCGGGCTTCCTCCCTGGTGAGCGCCCATCTGCTTGCTTGCTGTCACCTCTGACGGGCCCACGCTGCTGGGTGCCTGCCTGCAGCAGCCCTTCCCTCGCCTCACTTTTCGGGTCTACACTCCTCAGTTCTGGGAAACAAGACAGGTTTCAGAATTGTGTGAACATTGCGGACTGGTTTAAGGCTGGAACGAGGGCCTAGCGATTGCATAACATGAAGGGTGCTTGGGTTGCAAGCAACAGAGAGGCGACTTGAGTAACTCCGTTGGCTTCTCCCACAGACAGCCCGGGGAGGGGGCAGCTTCAGGTGAGGGGTGCTCCAGCGGGGCCGGTGTCCCCGGCTCCAGGCCTCGGCCTCTGTGCTGCTCCTGGGGGTCAGCCTGGGCCTCACGCTCCTGAGCTGCTTGCCAGCCCCTCCCAGGCTGCGGCGTCTCCGTGCGCACCGTCCGAAGTGACCAGGCTGACT